GTCTGTTGTGTGTTGAGCCCCTTGCTTTATCAGTTGCTTATCTTGGCATGACTTGAATAAGTATCAACAATTAACTGCCTTGTAATATGATAATATGACAGTACTCTCACATGCAAATAGAATGTTTGAAGAACAAACTTCAGAAAATGCCTGCATTTGCATAACCAACAAAACCTTGACAATATTTGTTAGAACAAACAAATCTATATCAAGGATTCCTTTTGAAATATAATACTAATTGTATTTCAATATCTCCATATAGCCTTTATACTTTCAGTTGTTGGGACTATTCGTCCAACTTCATATTTTTCAGATGAAGTCAATTTTTATTGCATATTTTTCATTTGGCCAATCATTTATCTGTCCAAATTCCATGACATATTTGAGCTCAACATCCTCGTCAATATTAATAATATTGGGCGCTACATTATATAAACAATATCGTCAATGATCATTTTACATCGGTTCCATCATCACACAATAAAGACATAACTTATCGAGATCTCATTATTTTCAAGTACCTGAGCCTCTCCCATGAGATCTTATAAAGTGTTATGTCATGGTGCTCTTATAAAGCACTTGCCTCCTTATTATGACCATCTTGAACATTTTCTCCCTCCTTCTTCAAGGAGACGTTATTCTATTTGGAGCATTAACAGCTGAAATATGACTTTTAGCTTTTGGTCAGCAAATGCTCCTGGCAATATTTTGGAAATGAATTATAACTTGAACTTCAAGTTCACATAAGTTCACATTTTCTTGTACGAGGATCTAGATGTATTCATAATAATTCATTCCACGTATCACTGTTTCAGCTGCTCATTTTCTCCCCCTAATGTTGGGATCACCAACACAATTCCCAACTTTCTTTGGGAACCCATCTTTGTGCATTGTGACAGCACAATTAAATCATATAGCACATCCATATTTCTAGATGGGAATATTTGGTTCCTGACCCTGAACCAATTGTGATAGGGAGAATTTATCATAACTTGTTGGCTAGATGCGTACAAGTTCTGTTGTATATTAAATAATATACCTCATACCAAATTTCTATTTGCGAATTTTGTTCTTATAACCAATGGTTTAGCTATAATTAGAGGCATACAATTTCTGCTAAATCAACTTGGATTTAAACCAGCATTATCAAGATAAATTATCATAATTTATATTCCGGAATTGTGCTCGAATAATTTGAGCAAACAACCTTGCAAAAACCAAATTGCAAGTTGATAACAAACGCGCATATGACCATACAATAGATGCATCTAGTAAACGGTCCACATGGCAGGTGACTGGGCCCATATATATATCACCTTCTATTCATTCCAGAAATCAAGGGATTCAGTCCCAACCTTAACTGGTATATCATGAGAATAAGCAGCACAAGAGAATTCTTGAAGAATCTTATATTTCTTCAATATATGTCAATGTGAATTCTCAATTGATTTTCGCATCAATAAACCGGGATGGCCAACCGGTCATGCCAACTGATATTTATTTCAGTAAACATTTAATTTACTATGGCATGTGATTTCATATCATACTTATACATCTGTAGTACAAATAGAAGAAAAATCGGGTAACCTTCATATTTACCTGGTATGTTATAGTAATATGAAGATAATCGATCTTCCTTTCATTTATAGTCTCAATATGCCAACCACTTTGGCTAATACATTTGAAACTCAAAAAGTATCTTTTCAGACTTACTACCACCAATTCCATGAATAATTTTATTTATTCGGTAGTAACAAATTCGCTCTTTTNATATGGTGAATGTTACTCCTTACACGGAGTAAAAATATATCATAATTATTATCGTAGGTCAAAATCATCATAAGCTAAAATTATTTCTTGTCTTTAATTTTGCCTTTAACAACTTTTTATAAAGCATGGCAATATATTTTTGGCGTACCACATGTACGCGACCAATGACATATTCATGTAACCACATTGTAATATTGATTATCTTTATTTCTCTCAAACCTCCCTTAGAGGTGAGTTGTGGTATTTATACAACCATGCATAAGCACATTCTTATGCATAATTTATATCACATGTATATTTTCACATTCACTTTCAGGAATGAGTCTGCATTTGCAATGCTTATCACAAGTCACATTTTCAACGAATGGACTATAATAATATGAACGTGTCTCGTATTAACAGACCGCATTGATACATATTCCTTCACCTTTGAAGGATTATTTTGAGAACCCTTATTGTTCTCTTTTTTACATTTACCATAATGATGACTATATTATTTCGTCGCTTGCCATGCCCTCGTACATTCATACAGTCATGAAAGATTATTTTCATTAGTCATCATTAGATCATCAATATGGTGCATTGGGACTCAAACCCAATGTCTTACCCATATAAAGGCATGTCAGGCTATAATGAGTTGGGACTCAAATCCAACTCTTATCATCATAGTGCATCAGGACGTGAACCCAATGTCTTACCCTTATGGTGCGTTGGGACTTGAACCCACCGTCTTACCTTCAGTTAAAAGTTTATTGGTATTCACCCTCGAGCATTTAAAAATATACCACTTTGTGATTACATATTATTTTATAAATTTTCATTCAAGCCTCATCGGGATGGTGAAAAACAAATCAAGTATCACATACTCAAATTTTTTCAAATTTAACATAACAAAAATATTATAATAATACATAAATTAGTATTGCCACAACTATGAAATATAAATATTAGTTTGTATAAACTAACAATTATCTGTATTCGAAGTTGTGCATGCATATAGAGGTGGTAGGATTACGGTAATATATAAGTTAAAGAAGTTAGAGGAAGAAATCTTACTTAATTACCGTCGTAGCAATTACCTTTTATTGCAAACTATCATCTTTAATTTGTAGTGCAACAAAAAATATTATAATTGAATAATGATAACAGTTCTAAATCGGTCTAAATATTCTTGGACCATTAGCATATACTAGTTATGCGTTAAAAATGAAGTGAAGGAAACTTACCTCATATATATTATATGGAAAAAAAATAGTTAGATAAGAAAATTTTAATTACTATAATTGAACTAGATGCTATCTGCAGGATTTCGTCAGTCATAATCTTAATACCCACCTTGGATACCGTCTTCTTGCTGGAACTAAACCTTTTGTGAATCGTTACAAGGGATGCCCTCCTTTCAAGTGTCATATCACACTTCATCATGCATCATAACATAAGGAGGATGCATTGTGCTGATAACGTGTTACGAAACTTAGCTCAAAGTAATAATATAAAATAAGAAGATAGACAACAATGTAGAGAGAAAGAGAGGAGAGAATCTATTTCTTCCATGTATTCAAGTGTGTACGTGATGCCCAAACCCTCTATTTATAGGATGATATAGGTAATACAAAGGGACTCCATAAACATGGTATTAACTATTGAGAACATGGGGGAAGATCATGGAGGTGTGGAATTACATCCATAATGGTAAGAAGTAGTGGGAGGTTAATGGAGAAGAGTAGTGGGTGTTACTCCCTTAGGAGTTATGGACATCTACCATAATCAAGTATTTCATAACAAAGTTGTAATTATGTGATTAATATTCAGCTCAATTCTGCATCTTAGTACATGATAAAAATTCACAATATGCATAAATAACCAACAAATTAGTAGACAGAAACATGTTCGATTGTTTGTGGTTGAAAACGTATTTTAATTAAAAATCTTATTAGATTATTCCAAATCTTATACTAAATGAATCAGAATACACAAACTAGTTTATTATTATAAATAAATGTGGCTGTTACCAGCCAAAAAGCTTGGAGAGCAAGAAGACCATGTGTAGTTAAGAAATTTTAAATTTAGGCCTGACTTCCTTCAACCATAATCAACAACAAAATCTATTGATTTGATCTGCAATGATGTATGCATAAATATATCAATTTCAAAATTTATATGGTGACTGAATCATCTTGATAATTTCTAATGAATATAATCAAGACTAATAATAATGCTATTATGGTGACTAGAGCAGTTAGTACTGAACAAACTTGATAAGAACGACTCTTTTTTTTTTTTTTTTGAGGTTCATAAAATTATGAATTTAAATTATATACATTGATTGACTGTTAGTGTAATTTAATTACGAGATTTTCTTTGTAAATCCTCTAATCTTGATGTGGATGGCCTGTTTTTGATGGAACTGAGGAAGGTATTTAGTCACATTTATGTGAAAGTTGGTTTAAGAATATCTATCACATGCTGCTAAAACAAAATCATATCTACAAATAAAAATATATCATCTGAAACTCATAGCAGTTATGAAAACTACCTAATACCAATTGTTTTGAAAACATCAAAACAATTGTTTCTGTATTATTGCCAATTCAAATGTCATCCAGAAGATCAAATCTAAGATGAATGAGATGACAAAATCCAATCTTAAAGAAGGTATTGTATATTATGTTATTTTGTAGTAAAAAGAATAACTTACGCCAGAAATTGTAGGACCCTGTAACACATATTTTAACAAAACGAGTTACCTAACATTTTAAGAAAGTAAAGCTTCTGTTTTTTTTTCAAGGGAAGCCTTGACGTAACTCGTAAAGTTGCTACCATGTGACCAGTAGGTCACGGGTTCGAGCCGTAAAAACAACCTCTTGCAGAAATGCAGGGTAAGGATGCGTACAATAGACACTTGTGGTCCGGGCCTTCCCCGAACCTTGCGGAAGCATAGTGCACCGAGTTGCCCTTTTAAAAACTTCTGTTTTTCTTTCTTCTTTCATTACTCAAGTTATTCAAGACATATAAGCTTAACGCGCTCAGGTTTCTTTACAATTTGTTAAAATTCCATCTCCTGCACAAGACAAACTGAGCCCAGACTGTATGTGTTTTTTTGAGTTAGTTTGCAGGTAAGAGTTGGATAGGATTTTCTAAGATACTACTGGTATTTGAATGTGACACAGAACCATGAAGTTTCTTAGTTTGATGACAGCTAACATATGATGTACTTGACTCAGTACAGATCATGCATTTTTCTTTGTATATTTTGAACAGGTTTATATTATTGATCCATATACATATAAAACTTTCTCAATTAAACTCCAACCTTTGTCATGGCTAATATGGCAAAAAATTTCCTAGTAATCTAAAAATATACATACAGAGATACTAAAAGGTATGAACCATTGTACATGTTTGTCAATCATCTACAACGGCTGCTCCTGCAAATGCTATCTTGGACCCGAGAGCCGAACAGCAGAAAGATAAGCATCACTGTTGCAGTCTGATGGCGCAGAGGTGCCGGATGAAGTAGCATCCCCACTTAGTGATTTCAGGAAACTTGAGAAAAGCCGCGACCCCATTTGAGCAGCAGTTGGTGGTGAAGGGACAGTGCAGATACCTTCCAGCATTTGCACAACCTTAGCCATCGACGGCCTAAGGGACATGTCATCCTGTATACACCACAAAGCAACTTTAATTGCTATGGAAACCCTCTCATCCTCTTCTTCAATTTTCAAGTTCCTATCGATAAGGTCTTTTAATTTCCCCTCTTCCATCATCTTAAATGCATACGAGGGAAAATGGGATTTCTCCGAACTTTCTGAAGGATCATAATTCTTCCGACCTCCAATTATCTCAAGCAAAACCATCCCATAACTAAAAACATCACTCTTTTCTGATATGGCATAATTTGTGATCCATTCTGGCGCGAGATATCCTCTTGTACCCCTCATTGTAGTGAAAACATGGCTCTGCTCTCTCGTCATCAGCTTAGCCAGGCCAAAATCGGAGACCTTGGCGAGGAAATGATCATCAAGAAGCACATTTTCGGGTTTGATGTCACAATGCACAATTTTAACATCACAGTCCTCGTGGAGGTAAGCTAGGCCTTTTGCTGTACCAACTGCAATATTAAATCTCGTATCCCAGTCCAACATGAATTCCTTGTTCTTCTTAAAAAGCCATTTTTCTAAAGAACCATTGGACATATACTCATAAGCCAGGAGCCTGTGTGTTCCTTCAGCACAAAATCCTCTCAGTCTCACAAGATGAAGATGATGGATGCTGCCTATAATACTAACTTCTGCCCGAAATTCTTTCTTTCCCTGACCAATGCCTTCCAATTTCTTCACAGCAATTCTACTCCCATCTGCAAGAACCCCTTGGTAAACTGAACCAAATCCACCTTGCCCAAGTTTTATTGAGAAGTTATTAGTTGCATTCTGAAGTTCTCTGTAGCTAAAACGAATTGGCATCCCCGATAGACCTTCCAAGAAATTGTCTTCTTCTGAACTCTCCTTTGCAGAATCCGGCAACTTGTTCTTTCTCCTCTGATAACGGATACTTCCGTAAATTAGGCCAAGAATGACAAAAGTTGTAGAAATGACTATACCAATGATAATAGGTAATCGTCCCTTTCCACCTCCACCATTATCTCCATTCCCTTGGCTAGCTGAAACTTTAATATATGACTTGAAACCAGCACCATTAGCCGAACCTTGTAAACTTCCTATTTGGTCAAACATAAAACAATTCCCTGAACTGCTATCAAAGAACATAGCAGCACACGAGCAATTTCCTAGACAAGAGGCTTTGCAACCATTTAAATCAGTTTTAGCAGCGGGAGAAACAAATCCAAGTGCAAAATATCCAAGACTATCCCCAGCATCTACAAGCTCCACAGGATCTTTTGTTTTATTGCAAAAGGAATCGATCCCAAATTTGCAAGATGGAAGTGCTGATGGGCACTGGCACTTGTTACCACTATAACAAACGAAATACGGATCACAAGATGCTGGCCTGCTACATTCATCTTGTGGAATTCTTGTCGCGGAGGCGGCACTGGAGCCTTCTTGAAGAATGCTAAAAGTAATGTAACCATCATTTCCAAGAGCAGCCACCCAAGTAGCATTTGCATCTTTATTATCAGAGAAAATGAACTGCCAAAGCAACACTTTCTTTTGATCATAAATTTTCCAAGAATTGCCATCAAGAATTGCAGAAGTGACATCTCCTCCAACTTGATTAATGGTCCTTCTATTATCTTTCCCCATAGCCCAATAAGGCTGTGGAGGCTGAAAACTTGCAGAAATAACCATATCCCCTGACTTAAATTCAAGTGAATAGCTCAAGTTATTGTTGTTTGGACTGCTTACAAGTTTCATTCCTTGAGTAAACTCCTGGCCTGATAAGAGTGTATCAACAGGATGGCTAAAGCTTTGCCAAATAATACTACCATCTTTCCCAACCAAAACTAAATTCCCAGAGTCCTTCAATTCCATAACAGAAACACCTTTCTTAGCAGTATTAGTAGACCAAATTGTTGATCCCCCACTTTTCAAGTAGGCATTTCCAGTTTCATCAAACATAAAATTATCCGAATTTCGAACCGGGGTATCTCTATTAGCTGACCAAACAATAGTTGAGCTACTCACATGAATGACCACAAGAAGGAACAAGGTAACATCTTTAGTAGGGTTAAATCCAAATGCAAAATTGGAATTGTTGGAAACAAGAATTAACCCATCATTGTCTATCCAAGTCATTTGAGACCCTTGAAATCCAAGATTCAGACTGCCTATATTCTGAACACTAGCTATACAAGTCTCAGGCACAAACAGGAAAAACAAGAATATGATCACTAAATAGAAAAATCTCCAAGATCCCATGACAAAAAACTTAGAACAAGATTCTGCTAAAGTCAGAAACTTTGAAGCCAAGAACAACCTGGAAATATCAATTTGATGATATTTTGATCAAAGGAAGATTAACAAGCGAAATTTCTCAGGAAAACACAGAAAAAGAAAGGAAGACTGAACAGTTGAAAGCTAAGGACCAAAAATGAAAGGAAAAAAAAAACTCAATGAGAATTATGATAAGAGAGAAGCAAGAAAACTAACATATGATATTGTTGTGAAGGTACCAATCACATGGCTCTGAAATCATCGACCAAGAATCCAAAAACGTGAAGACTGAAAAATGAACAAAAAGGACCCACAAAAAAACACCAAAAGAAACAACTTGACTAACCAATAAGAATTAATGGGTACTATTCATTCAGCCATTTAGTAAGACCAAGTTGTTAAAAAACCTGCAAAGCTTCTAACTTTAGTCTGATAATATCAATGAAACACCAGAAAGAGGAAAGTAGAAGGAAGATAGTTCAAAACTACGTGTAATTAATGAAGGACAGCAGCTATCAAGAATTCTAAAGAACAGAAGAAAGTAAACAAAATTGGATCTTTTTATTGCAGACGCAGGTTTTCTGTGTCTTTTTCCTGATATAAGATAAGGGGTGGAGGAAGAAAACAAAAAAAAAGGAAGAGAAGCAATGAATTAGTTTGTTTATGCTTATGTCAAAGAATTGGAAAGATCTGAAGTTGAGCAGAAATAGCCGTGCAAAGTAGTACTAGCTATAAACAAAGAATTTATGTCATGTATACTGAGGAAGGGGTGGTTTCATACAAATTAATTATAAACCAAAATTACATAAATATTGTAGTAATATAGGAATTATAATACATAAACCCGACTTGTGACGAAAAGCACTCATACATAAAGAAATACATATAAATTCATCATTAATCTTTTGGGTTAATCCATCACTATTCACTTCACATTTTCTAGACTGTTGTATATCTTATACTCCTTTCCTCTTAAATTATTTATCGTATTTTTCTTTTATATGCCCTCCAAAAAATATTAGATAGGATGATTTTTTTACTTTTACTGTTATTTATGTCTTAGATATGGTCTCTCTTCATTGAGTATTTATTTTATAATTGAGAAGTAGTCTTCAATTAGGGGTAAAATCTACAATCTGCATACACACTACCCCCTCCATACTCCACTTGTGAGATTTCGGGTTTGTTGTTGTTATTGTTGAGTAGTCTTCAAGAACAATTACTACCATTAAGGGTATATGGGGGAAAAATTATTTTATCTTGAACTTGTAAAACGACAAATAATTTGAGATAGTTATTGTTAGAAAACACGACATATAATTTGAGATGGATGGAGTATGTATAATGTTATTTATGAGGGAAAAGACAAAATTAGCAACCAACATTTTGTATTAATAATAGTGAGTTTTATTTGGTGGCTAAATCTTCTTAAAAGACCAGCCATTATTTAGGAGTAATATATTTAACTAATTGTAACATGCTGTTTTTAAAAAAAAATTGTTAGTATATGTCTAATGTAAGCATCTACCTATGGTTAATATTAAGTAAATCTAACATGTAAATAAGTTTATTTACTAAGATTATATACAATTTAAAGTCATATAAAAAAATTCTTTATTTATATATAAATTCACAGGCACTATCAAGTTGTCAATACATAATTAAAAAATAAACAAAACAAAAACAGAGTTCTTTCTTTCATACACCTTAATAGGTGGGACACAGTCACAGTATTACAGATCGATAGTTAACTTGTTGGACTTATGAATGAATACTCCCTCCGGTTCAAAATAAGTGATTTTTGAATATTTTCACACAGATTAAGAAATTCATCTTTTAGCATTAATTAGCAATGAAATTGACCATATTAACCTTTACTATCTCACATAAACACTCCTAACACATACTCCAACACTATTTACTCCAAGGACAATGTAGAAAAAAAATAATTAATTCTTTCTTGAAATCTGGAAAAATTACTTATTTTGGACCACAAAAAAAAGGTCAAAAAATCACTTATTTTGGATCGGAGGGAGTAATATATTGGATAATTAATGCGAATAATATTCGGTTGCACCCATCTGGAAACTCTTAAAATTAAATGGGCAGATGGGGTTGTAGGGGTAGGCTAGTGGGGTTATAATATAAGAAAGGGAGATATGAATGCTGAGTAGGGGTTTGGAGGTTGGGATAATTAAATGCTGAGATTGGACGAATGTGACGAAAATATTTACTTTTTAAAAGAGTTAATAACCGTAGCACCAACTCATGTACCAACTGGTAAAGGGTGTTAATAAAGGTGAGAAAGTATGTGATGTTTATGAGTTCTTATCGTAATTTTAAATTAATATACAATAATAATTAGGTTCAGAGTTAAATATTTATAATTTAATTGATTTCTTTATATAAAAACAGGGTCTACGCAAAAGTTCTCGGATACCCATATTCAATGCTCTAGGTCCGCTACTGCCTCCCATTTTTACCTTTTACACTTCAACTGTCTTTGTTATTTGGGTATAATTTTTAACTCAAAACAAAAGACCTAGCTAGTACTTGGATCTAGATTTAGTTGAAACTTGAAAAAAAAGAGTTTTTGAAGTTGTGTTAAAAAATAGTTTTTTGAAATTGAGATTGTGTTTGGACATACATTTTACTTGAACAAAAAAATTGAAGTATGTGAGTGGGAGAAAAAATTTCACAACCAATTTTTGGAACTTGAAACTTTTCTTCAATTTTTTTTTTTAGAAAACTAATCAAATTCCATAAACAAATAAATTTTTATTTTAAAAAAAAAGTAAAAAAAAAAAATATATCCAAACAGGAGCTTACTTACACTTGAATCAGATCATATTAATTAATCACAACTAAATATGTATTAAGATATATATATATTAGTTAATCATAATTAAATGAAAATTGATAAAAGCGTATATAAAGATCATGTCATAATACTTATTTGTTTGCTTTAGACATAGAGTTTAAACAATTTTTTTTCCTTCCTAACGTGACTTAAATGTTTGGAAAGAATTCTTCTTTTCAATTTGTTGGTATTTTGGTTAGTCATACAGTGCTACTTTCACTTAAACTATCATGAGTGAATCGAAAGTTGAATCTACATTAAATTTTATCGAAATCATCCCATCTATCCTCTCGAGAAGAAGTTTGATTTCAGATTTGAATAGGAGGAATCTTAATCTTATGGGCCCTATTAAACTTATCTTCAAGAAAATCTAGTTTGCAAATGAAAAAGTTAAAACTGTTATAAATAAAATTTTATTTATGGTGAATGTTTACATTTTAGAGAGATTGTAAGATTTTATTTGGTGGGTAAGTCATTTTTTCCCTATAAATAGAGGTGTTCTATGCTATTGTAAATGATCCCAAATCAATAAGAATTATCTTTCTCTACTTTTCTCTGTAATACTCTTCTTTTTCTTTTATTGTTTCATAACACGTTATCAGCACGAGACTCTAACCAGTTGGATAGAAGCTTTGGGATTGAGCATAATGATTGCCAATTGTTCCATGAACTTCCTTCGTGAATAAATTCTAGATTTAAGGTATGTATTTTACCGTATTTTTCTCTTTTATTTTATAATTTGATTTTAAATACAAGCAAAGACAATAAATTTTGATTATAACTCTAATGGAGTTTAAGAAATTATAACCACTAGAAGTGGTAAAATTTCTATGTCTTGCCTTGATCAAAGTCATGTATGATCGTGAGCACAAGAAGTGGAAACCCGCCCACTGAATTTGCTTCATTCTCATCCCCTTAAGAGAATGTGGTAGCAATATGTAATAACTCTGAAAGAAGATAAAATTATTACCGTGAAGGTATTACTGGATGTGGACGTGGTAACAGACGAAATTATAATCGTCATCGTTGTGCTAATGAGAACAATAAGGATTCTCAAATTAATCCTTCACTTTGTGAAAGTAATATTTGTCATCAATTTGACATGAGATTTTGTAAAGCACGTGATTATGGTCCATTCATGATGTGAATGTGATAACATGTGATTTATGAATACATATTCATTCTTGGAAGAATATGGACATGCCAGTGGTAGTGAATATACCACACTCACCTCTAGAATGAGGTTTGGGATGAAAAGAAAATAATTTTATTATTATGGCATGAATGATCATTGATCACGTACCTATAGTGATTATGCCAAAATATTATGGCAATGCGATTCTTACATGGCAAAAGTAATAGAAGCAACATATCTTGCCTCTAATGATTTTGACCACGATCATAATGATATAACTTTCTCATTGAAAGAGATATTCACCGTATGAATGTTGATGAATATGTGGTAGTACAAAATTAATTGGGAGCTCTCGAAGAGCCAATTATTATTATTTTGGAGGAATAAAATTGATTATCAATAAGACATTGTGATGTAATAAGTCTAAAAAAACTTAATTGAGTTTCTAAATTATTCGCGAAAGCTGTTGGTTATATTGAGACTATAAATAAAAGAAAGATTTAATATCTCATATTACTACAACTTGTAGCGGAGTAATATATATGTGAAAAGTTACCCGCTTTATTCTCCAGTTTGTACTACACAAATATAAGAATACCACAATAAAGTGGATGTTTATTGATATAAAAACCCATATCATAATAAACTTGGAGTTTATTGATAATTGCACACGTCATGGTGTAAACCTGAACTTTATCAATATTGATAATTTATCCAGTTGGCATAATCAGTTTAGCCTTATCAATTTAAGCATGATGTGCAAAAATAAAAGAGAATTCACATGGGTAAATATTAGAGAATTAGAAAGTTCTTTATGAATTCTCTTATATTGCTTGTTCTCATTAATATAGACCAACTAAAATTGGGATTGAATCCTATGAATGCTGAAAATATCAAAGGTGATATGGGCTCATTCACCTGCCATGTATATTTCATAAGATGCATCTATGAGATGGTTACATGTGCGATTATTATTAACCCGCAACATGGTGTTTGCGAGGTAACTTGCTCAATAATTTAATTTCGAGTATAATTTCCAGATTTTCTATTCAAGAAAGTTCATCATGATAAGTTTGTTTACATCACAGTTGATTTAGCAAAATGATTTATTGAGTGCCTCCACTTAATAGCTAAAATATTGCTTATGAGAACAAAGTTATCTATATCAGTTTGATATACGTTATATACGAAAGTATATTACATTCTCCCCTCACAAGTGCTTCAGGGTCAGGAACCAAATAATTCCATCGTATTATTATTGATGTGCGGTGTATATTTTGATTAACACCATAACGCTCGAAGATGGGTTCTCAAGGTTGAGGAAGCAAGTTAGTTTTTCTAACATGAGGGGGAGGCAGGATAAACAGTTGAGAAAAAAGTTACATGGAATGAATTATCATGTGTACATCTAGATTCTCGAATAAGATAATTGTCACGACCCGAATTTCCCTCCGTCGGGACCGTGATGGCGCCTAACATTGAACCCGCTAGGCAAGACAACGTTATTGATTATTTTACCTTTTTTATTCATCTTTAACAATTTACCAGATAATATAAGAAAATCAGCGGAAATCAAAATGCGGAAGATCATAATTTAACAGTTTAACTTAATACTAATACGAAATCCATAATAGAACTTCACCCAGAACTGGTGTCACAATTTCATGGATGTCTACGAATACTACAAATAGTGGTCTGAAGAAGAAAATACCAATCTGTCTCAGAAATAGGTAAAACAGAAAAGAAGCAAGATAGAAG